GCTCTGCCCTGTGCAGACACAGAACAGCCCAGATGAAGTGCTCATCCTTCAGCGGGGCTCAGCCTGGCTGCCAAAGGAATCCTCAGTCCTTCTGCTGGGCTGGGCTGGGAGCTGCTCCCAGAACTGGCACTGAGCTGGGCACCAGGGCTGCTCCCTGCTCCCAAATCCCTGCAGTGCTCCCTGCTGGGGACAGGCACCAGGGGCTGTTCCCTGTTCCCGAATCACAGTCACCTGCTCTACCCCAGACATCAATAAAGCCATCACGATGGCCAGGGAAATAAGGCCCTGTGTGAGGGTCCTCCAGGGCACCAGGAATGCCCAGGCTCCCTGTCCATGCCCAGGAATGCCCAGGCTCCCTGTCCATGCCCAGGAATGCCCAGGCTCCCTGTCCATGCCCAGGATTGCCCAGGCTCTCCGTCCATGCCCAGGAATGCCCAGCCTCCCTGTCCATGCCCAGGAATGCCCAGGCTCCCTGTCCATGCCCAGGGACATGGGCTCCATGCCCTGTGCCTTTGCATGCCCAGGAATGCCCAGGCTCCCTGTCCATGCCCAGGGACATGGGCTCCATGCCCTGTGCCTTTGGCTCATTCCAGCACAGCCAGCCAAACCTCTCCATGCCCTCAGTACCTTCTGGAGCTCAAACCTTAATAACAGAGGGTGGGGATGGTCACAGGGAGGCTTCCCAGTGCATGGAGGGAGGGATGAGTTCACACCTTGCTGCCACAGCTTTTGCCCAGTGCTGGCTTCCTGGGATGATGAGTGGCAGAGCCTCATGCTGTGGATTGTCTGTATGGAACTGCACAAACTGGGAGGGGAAGAGTTTGAACACTCTCCTTTTAAAATCCTGAGCCCTCCCTCCCTAAAATCCCCCCTCAGGGCCTCAGGAGAGCATGCTGTGCCCATGGTGTGTGGCGAGGATCCTGTCTGCACACAAGCAGGGGAGGAGAACCCACATCTCCAGCAGCCCCAGAGTGAGAATGTGCCACGCTCTGCCTGCCCTCAGCAGCCCTGCACTACCCACACACACAGGAGCACCACCAACACTCCTGGGCTGAGCTGTTTCCTCGTTTAGAGCAGGGGAGCAGGAAGCAGGCACATGTAAAGCATTTCTACGAGCTGCAAACCTGCAGCTCACCCTGAGCTGCCCTGAGCTGAGCCGGGAGCTGCGGAGCCCTGGATGCGCTGGGACACCCAGGAGCTGTGTCAGTGCCTCTGGAGCTGTGTCAGCTCCCTCTGAGCAGTGTCTGGAGGCCTCCCCAGCCCTGGCACACCCAGCCAGCCCTGAGCAGGCCCAGGGACAGCCCTGCCCCTGCAGATGTGCCCAGAGCACCTTGCCCAGCACGCAGGTGATGCTGACTTCCAGCGCGGCCTCATCCCCTCCCCGGGACATGGAAAAGCTGGGTGGAGGCTGTGACATCCCCACTGAAATGCTTTGAACAGAAAAGAAGGACTTACAAGCACTCTGGAATGAGGATCCCATCAAAGGAAATGCAATGGAAGGGGAAAATAATAAAGAAAATTGGGAAATTTTGTTGCTACAAGAAAATGGATTGCGATTACATGAGGTGCAGTGCAAAGGATCAAAACAGGCCAAAACTAACCTCAGAGATGGTGCAAAAACAGGGGAAAAAATCAAGGAGGAAAAAAAAAAAATCAAGGACACAACTTTGAGGGGAAGAGATGAGGGACATGGTATGGATACTTTAAAAAATAATTAAAAAATCTTGGCCAAAGTGAAAGCCATCAAAAGGCATGGGATGCCATCAAGTGCAGGGACATGCACCAAAGCTTGCCCCCATTGAAATGGCAAGATTTCATTTCCCTTCCCAAAAGGAAATCTCATATTTCTTCCTTTTGGGAAGGGAAATGAAATCCTGGAATGGGCAGGAGGAGGCTCTGGGACAGCCCTGCAGGCTGCAGTCCCAGCACAGCCTCTCCCTGCACCATGCAATTGCTGCTCCTTGTAATTTTCCCCGAGCTGGTGCCATTGCAAATGCCATCCTTATCTCCCTAAGTACAGATCCTCTCCCCAGCCATGTCACACAGCAATTTGTTACATAAGCTCATTAAGTTTTTTAATGCATCTATGTTAATGGGCACATAAATATGGAAATCTTAATTTCAGGCCTGTCTCTGAAAAGCATTAGCTGGGAAACTGGTCTGAGGAAAAGCAAACAGGGCGCAGGAAGAGCCAGGGATTTATCCAGGGTTTGGTGAGTGGAGCAGGAGATGTTCTCCATCACCTGTGACGCTCCAAAAGCTCATTCTCAACAGAGAACCTGCAGTTGCTTTGTGTTCCTCCCGCCCTCAGCAATGCTGCAGTGGCAGGTTTTTTCTCTATGATTTTTCTCTCTTATCACAGGGGCACTATTAGCACAAATAAAAAGATTCTGGTTCTCCAAAGCAAACAGAGACGTTGGCTGCAGCCCAGGGATCCCCAGTGAACAACTGCAACCTGCAGAGTGCATTTACAGTGGCTCAGCAGAATCCCATCCATTCATGTTCTGCACCATTTACAGTAGTAAATACTGTATTTCAGGTGTATTCCTCTTTGGCTCCACACCTTTAATTTGGTGATTTAACAGGGGAGAACATTTCCACACCTCGGGATCCTTCCCTGCAAGGATCCTGGCAGGACAGGAGCTCCCAGGCCAGGCTGTGCACTCTGCATTCATCCCACAGGCCCTGGGACAACCACCAGGCACTCAGGGCCTGCAGACGAAGCTCACTTTAATTAACGACACGGATTTGCTGCCCCAGAGTGACTCCCACAATGCCAGGAGATGCCAAACCCTGTCTGGAGGCACCCAGGGCCAGATGAGCCATTCCCTGCCCACCTGGAGCAGGGACTGGGGGATTTCTCCTTTTCTCTTTTTGAGCTCTCCCAGCAGCAGACCCCAGCTCCTGGGTCATTCCATGCATTTTCTGCTGGATCAGTGACTGGAAGTGGCTCCAGAGGGCTCCCATGGGCACCAGGTGCCCCTCAGAGGCAGTTTCTGCTTTGCTTTCCCAGCTCAGCACCCTGCACATTAAATTCACTTCCCTCTCCCACCACTCTCCCTGCCAGGCAGAGATTGAGGCCATTCCCAGGCACTGTGTTTGGGAAAATACAAATACGAATTTCCTCCTGGCACAGCTGGGATGGAGGCACCTCTCTTAGCCTGGCCATGGCCTCAGCTGGAAA